GCTGACCTAGACTGATTCAAATTCGTAACAGACTTCCCCATACATATCTCAATAAACCCCTTAGCGGGAGCCCTTTCCCCTAGCCTGTTCCGGCAAAATGGCCATCTTTGCCAACTCCACGATATAATACTTCATTGTTAGAAATACCGTGTCTTGACGCTCGTCAACGTTCTCAAGAGAAAAAGGGACTGCAAACGAAACGAACAAACAATGCATAACCCTGATACGTGCAAGGATGAAGCAACAGCCGTTTTTAATACTCTCCATTGTAAATAAGAACTTTAAAGGGTCAAACAAACAATTACCAGTTAAGCTGAGTTTCGTTTTCTGGCAATCACCCACGTTTTCTTATGCTCGCACCACAGATGGCCTCATATCTGATTACACATGGCTACGAAAAAAGAAAGAAATAATCAACTTATTAAACAACTATGGGAAACAAACTCTGCACATCGACCAGCTTAAACAAATAGATAGGCCTCAGTGTAGAAATCTGAGATAGGCTGGGGTTTTTTTTTCCCTGTTTTTTATTATTTTCTTTTTTTCATTCTGCAGCCTTATTCTCCTTCAGGGCAACTTGGGCCAGAAGAATTTGAGTACCTTTTGTCGCGTGTTTCAGTGTAACAAGGGCATATTCAACGGATAAAGCGCAATCTAGGTAAACTATCTGCTTTAGAATGTGTTCATATCGAACTAAAGAGACCAAAGGGCATAAGTCTTCTGATTCTCTTTGTTTATTCGAGCTTATATAACACGCAAAAGACATTTTTCTGAGCCAGACTTTATTTTAGGTTTGTAATTATTCCTCAGATATTTTTCTTAGAAAGTTTGTGCCAAATATACATTTGAGACAAAGAACAATACTCAATATTGTTTTTATGTACATAGTCTAGAAACCGAAATTCCACGATTTCGCTTTCTATTGTTTTGGAATAAACTCGTCAAACGCACTTTGAATTACTTCTGTTGTGATTATGGAGCGAGGAATTTAACGGGGCCTAAAAATATGGAAACTACTCAATACCTTAGCCCACGCAAAGCCGCTCATTGTGCTTTCGTATTTGTTTAAAGTGCCAGCGTAACGCTCATTGATATGCAGAACAATCTGTGAATGGGTGTGAGGCTGTCTTTGGAAGTGAACCGTAAAAAGTCAAGCCGCTTCGGGTGAGCTCGTATAGGATTTCGGTTTGGAGATGGTAGTGTTAACCTGTTGAACCAACGATTCGGAAAAATGCTGAAAGTCACCGTCCAACAGGCTACTAGCCTCCCAGACGTCGATTCTTTTGGAAAGAGTGATCCCTATGCGAAAGTCATCTTCCAAGGTAAGTCAGTTGATCCAGTCGTTTGAGTTCATGCATGAACAAGACTTGGGCGTTCGAGCGTTTGTTGTACAACTATGAAGCCCGCGTAACGGCTCTCCGTTGAAACAAGGGAACTAAGTTTAGACTCAGATAAGCGAGCTATGGTAAGTGCAACTTGAACAAGTTGTAAAACTTTGAATAAAGTTTAAAGCGACAGGTTAGCTTTGTTTCATTTTAAACTTTGCATAATAAGCCCTCATTGCTATGCAGAATGTTCATGCACGTACGAATTTTTCGCCTTCCAATATTTAAAATTTTCGTAGCACGTTTGAAAACCTTTACAGTCACTCGTTCGTTTTATAATTACTTAAAAGGAAAGCTCTTAGAAATACACGCAGCTTTCATGACAGTGTTTGAATTTTTCTAGAAACGTTAATGCTGTTTACGGTTCATAATTGTTTTTGCAAAATCAGCGAAGCATTGCGAAATCCGCGCGAATTTACTTGTACAGAATTAGTACAAACCTCAGACAGCGGCTTTCGCTTTCTTCATATTTGAATGCTCAAAGATTTGTCCTTATTTCACCGAAAACAATTTTGTAAGTGCAATAATTCGAATTAGAGAAGCACTCGTCTTTAACCGCTATGCCAAGAGAGCGGAAAAATTGAAAGTCACAATATTCCGAGATATAAAATCACATTTTGACCCCAGGCAACGAGCTAGGTGGGAGTGTGTTTTTTTTTGTTTTTTTTTTTCATCAAAAACTGACCCAGTCGCAAAATTAATGAGAATTGAGTTGATGTAGTAAGCTTCAAATGTCCTGTAAATGTTTCAAAAGTTGTCATTTCAGCACGACGAGGGAAATTTGAACAGATTATTGATTATTGATAAATGTTGTAAACAGACTGGAAGGACGCTTGTCGTTCCGGTCCATATCTCAAGCGAAAATTTATTCCACCCTTTAAATTCTTGAAATTCAGCATTGTTAAAAAACTCTATTCCGCATTTTCTTTCTGACAGTTTTTAGACAAATTAACCTTTCGTCGATTTCGAGGTCATTAGAAGCTGCCTAGTGGAAGCTTTAACGTTTGAAAGAATTTTCGCAGAGCTACCGATAAAAAAGTATTTCAGTTATGTTCTAACTTTGTTTTCTTTGAGTCTTTGGCCGAATAACTGACAATACAGGGCTTTTATTTTCTCCTAAGTAAACTTGTGAACGTACCGATTGTCAGATATTACACATCAGATATTGGAAATAACTAATGGACGATTCATTATTGCAACTGCGTTTCCGTTTCCGGTAGTTTATACCTTTCCTGTATTTAAATTTTATTTCAAGGGAAATGATTTTTAGCCGAGATTTAAATTGATTTAAATTTTCTTTTTCGCCCAAGGCTCCTATCCCATGGCAACTTATCTTGAGGCTTGAAAGAATGCGTGATTTCTCGCGCCCATCTTTGAATTGATAACGACAAGTAACGTCCAATATTCCACGTTGATTTCGTAAATTTACAGGTCATGTGACTACTTCATTTGGAAAAGTCAAGAACAACGGTCGCAAGACTGAGCGACAACCTAGTTTGAGTTCATTAGGCTTCGATGTTTAATTTTCTTTTTTTAATTATTGGACATATAAAACTGTCTTTCTTCTTTAGTCTTCTGAGCTTTTTAAATTGCTTGCATTCTGGACTTCAAGTAATCTGGCCATCTATTGACAGTGGACAAATGATCGGATTTGCGATTTAAAAAAAAAAGTTAATTGCCCCTTAATTTGGCTATAATGACATTGTATGCTACGGGACGATGGAAGAGTTTGAATCGATAGTTTGACTTAAAAATTAAAAACAAAATAAGAATAATTTATGAGACAGTGAATAAATTATATATTGTCATAATACATAATGTAGTTGCTTTTTAGATGTTTATAAAAGGCTAAAAGTACGGTCATCATCAGTGGTACATGATGGAAATGTACATACAACTTGGTCTTGTTATATCGGGATCAAATTTAAAGTAGCATGTGGCAGAAGGAGATTGAGATAGAATTTCCCTTTAGCGATTTAAAGAAAAGAAAAACATTACAGAAATAATAATTTTTAGTATAAATCTACTGGCGTTCTATTGCGAATGCCGTTCTGTGATTGGCTACGCTACTCACTATCTATTCTGTGATAGATAGTGACTAGCGTAACAGGGGCCCTTGTTAACAAAATGACGGCCGCTTCTTGGCGTTTTCTAAGTGTCTGTGAAGAGGATTTAGATAAAGTTCTGAACGACTAGTGGATTTATACTAAAACAATTAGATTGTTCGCTCTCGATTTTTATCACGCGATAGAAACCTCGAGCTCATAATCTAATTATTTAATAAAAGACGCCCATTTCAACAGACCTCTGATCATACTGGTCATGAAAGCTGCAACGAGGCTTTGCCCCCATATTTCATTTTAGACAGAAAGTTTAAGTTGAGGTCGCCTAGGGGGTTAATTCTTAACAGAATATATTTTTTATCCTGCCTCCAGGAGATGAAAAGAAAACAGAAGTTCAAAAGGACAATTTGGATCCGGTCTGGAATCAGGTAACGAAACATTAACATCTCTAAAATATAAATACGTTTAATGGACATCATTTTTTGAAGAAAAGCACACAACGTACTGAAGGCTTTTCATTTTAAATCTACTTGCTTGTTTTCCCACATTCTCTATGTCTATGTTAAAAGCATTAGCCTGTTCCAGGCTCTCGTTAGTTGCTACAGAGAACCTGCAACAGGTTATAAAGCATTTATGTTTCTTCTCACTGAGCAATGAAAACAAATTTGAATGATCGAATACGCAATCTTGATTTTGAAATTCTTTACGTCACCTTTCCAAATGTGTCGTGAGAAAGTGACAGGAAAAGAATATTATTTTTGTTGATAACCGTTTGTTTTCCTTTCAAAGAGGTTTATTTAGGAATAATAAGTATTAAAGTAATCTCGCAAAACAAATACGCATGTGTTATGCTTTTATTTCAGGATTTCCAATGGGACCTTTCGGGCAAACCCTTGTCCCCGGATGACAAGCTTTCGGTTGAGGTGAAGGACTATGAGAAGGTTATGACAAGAAAGTAAATATCATTTTGTTCATTTTAGTTGTATGGTTTTCGCAGTTTTTATTTTAAGGTCTTAGAAATTACTATAGGTCTGAATGGCAATGTAGCGTTCAACAGAGTTAAAAGTGCTAAATAACTACAACTGATGTTTTTAGTCTAAAATCAGGTCTGCACGAGCAATTGTGACAATTTTTATGCGACAAATATATTTGTTCGTGTCTATGGCACAGCAAATATATTTCGACAGTTCAAAGTTGAGAGCGCCAGTAATGACTTTGGGCAGCAGAGATACCCAGAAACAAAGCGGGACTGCTTGATGGCCCCCGGAGAACTTGGTGCTTTCGAACATATTTGCCATATTTTATGAGACGAGTCGTCCACGCGAGAATTTTTCGCATATGACGACTGTTATTTGTCAAATCAAAGCTCGCAGACCAGTTTTCAGCAAATACATTTACCACACAAAAATTGGCCAATTTTCCTCGTCTATACTACGCGAGCAAATAACAATTGTCATATAAAAATTGTTACATAAAAATTGCTCGTGTACACCAGGCTTAACATGAAATAAATCCTTGATTCTTATTGGCTGAAAAAAATACTTTTTTCTTAACCTCAATACGGCAACGTGGTGACATCAGTAAAATCTTTGACATTATCACTCGAAGTAGCTTTGACAATCATCGGAATTTTTAGCGATAATTTCGCACCCGCTCGTGCGATTTTCTTTTAATGATTGTCACCTTCGAATGACTATGAGAAAGTCATTAAAATTTCTACGGAAATGGTAGCAAACGTTGTGTATTGTAACTTTCGAATCAAATGATAATAACAATGTTTTAAAAATTTATACCGAAATGCTGGGTAATATTTTTTGTTCTACATTAATTCTATTATTTTCTATCCTGTTTCTTTCTCCCTAAGGCTCCTGGGTAAGGTTGAAGTGCCTCTAGGAGAGTTGCTTTCAAATAACGAGATTGAAAGAAGTTATGACCTTGTGGATGGCAAAAACAATCCTACCTTGGTAAGCAAAACAACCTTAAAAAGAATACAACCTTTAACACTTGTTTGCTTGTTTGTTTGTTTGTTTGTCTGTTTGTTTGTTACGAGTTGAGGCAAATCACTCTGTCTACAAAAACGTGAAAGGTCGTCACACCATAGCAAACAATTTCTCTGCTTATGCAAACCCAGAATGATGATATGCAATATGCACAAATTCATGTCATGATCAAATACTATGCACTGAAGTTTTATTTTACTCACCTCTAGAATATAATCTTTTGTTTACATCGTCACTGTAGGGAAAAATTATGCTGAAGCTGGAGTACTCAGCCCCTCCTGGAACTGGCGGTGACAGTGGAGGCGGAGGAGGGGGCGAAGAGGCCGGAGAAGAAGGAGAAGAAGGTTATGAAGAGGAAGAGGAAGGCGAGGAAGGGGCTGAGGGAGAAGAGCCTGGAAAACCAGGGCAGCCTAAAAGACGGAAGAGAAGGTGAATCATTGCTATTCGTACTTAACAAGGAGTAAGATGTGTTGATAATGATATACCCGTATCACAACCTTCAACGCGTGTACTGTTTCTAAGTTTTCATTTCTAATCTAGGAAACCAACTCGACGAGGAGGCAGAAAATGGTCGACTAGAGTTCAAGACTTTCAGGTACACCTTTCCTAAAGATATTTGCACAATAAAGGCGCTTGTTCTGAAGTAAAACTGATTTTAGAATGTAGGTTCAGCTGATCGCAAATTTTAGCTCTTCGTTCACGTCAAGTTGATTATTTTCATTTCTCTTACAGATCCGTATTCGAATCCTTGAAGGTCGCCAGTTGGTAGGCAACAATATCCATCCAGTGGTTCGAGTGACTGTCGCCGGTCAGCGGAGAGAAACAACAGTGAAACGGTCCACAAACAAACCGGTTTACAATCAGGTTTGGGCATTGTCTTGTTCAGACCGACTGACTTTTTTCGTTTCTGAATTTGTTCAAGAGCTGTCTTTGGCTCGTTATCTAAACTACGTGTTGTTTGCTTTGTTATCCAGGGTATGATTGAAGCTAGCTCATCATTAGATTAAAATGGCAATAATATTATCTTACAAGACAGTTTTAATCCCCTCTCTGTGGCACAATTTACGGTTTTGACATGAATTGGACACTTAAAACTTCCTCTTTTGTTTCAGACATTTTTCTTCAATTTCCACTTGTCTGAAGCTGAGCTGTTTGATGATTTGGTTTCTCTCGAGGTCAGTATAGCCATTGGGCTCCATTTGTTTAAAACAATACAGAACATGCGCTTATAATTATCAAAGGCGGTAATTCTTTCTTTAGATGAAACCTTGAGTAGTCGCTCAGGCAAGCGTTAAACCACTTTTATCAGTCAAAATCTACAACTTTGGTTGTTGAGCCAACTGTAAGGTGGACCAAACGGTAATCAAGTGCACTTTGTATAGCAATCGGTAATGCTAGTTGTACACATCGACAGAAGTATTATTCGCAGAGTGTGACTTTTTTGTCTACGGTTTACCCAATCAGATTTTAACACTGAGATTGTCATTAAGCAACCAACGGTAAAGATGGAGGATTACAAGAAAAGCGGTGTTATAGAATTGGTTTCAAACACAACTAGATCAATGATGCTGAGTTGTTGTGAAAAGTCAGAGGAATAAAACGTTGTAACTCATTTGTTACATTTTCATATGCAACAGGTGTTCAACTCTCGAAAGCTGCGTTCGGACTCCCTTCTCGGCTACTTTGAGGTGAGTTAAATCAGTCAATTCGCTTAAGTAATTAACATCGCATTTCTCCTTTAAAAATTTCATTACAATTAATATTCAACATCTGATTAAATATTCACAGTGTGACATTGGAAGCATTTCTGTAATGAAAGGTGAGGGGTTTAATTTCCTCTGCGTTTATTCACTTACACACTCATTCACTTCTTTCTCGTCAGTCAGTCAGTTCGCTTAAATTGATACAGTAAAATCTGTGTGGAATCAAACTGATAATAACGCTTCTTCACAGGTCACTCGTTTGTCCGTAAGTGGGTTTTACTTTCTGGACCAGCGGACAAAGATGAAGAGGAGGTTTGATATTGCATATCTTGAATTTTTTGACCGTCTGATGTGTGATAGACTCATGTATTTCAAGCATATTCTCGTTATAGTATGACATCAGTTGTTGAACCGTGGTTTCATTAAGTGTATCTTATCTTCATCAAATACATATCAAATAGAATGTGGTAGTCAACCTAATTTTCAAACAAGTAAAAGCAATTTCTCACTGATATTTTTAATGACGCTATTTGATTGTTTGTTTGTTTGTTTTACATAACAGGAAGAAGGAGGAAAATCCAAGAAAACACGTGGCGGAGAAACGCCAGCAGTGAGTACAGAAACGTTACATATCGATTGCACTTTCTTTTCCATTCATTCATAGTCTTTAATCAAGTTACACAATAATTTTTGTTTGTATTGTTTCTAGGGTTACTTGAAAGTCACCGCTATGGTTCTTGGTCCTGGGGACGAGCCACCGGTAGGTATTAAATTGAGTTTATTATGGCGGTTTATACCAAATAGGTCAGTACCGAGGTTTACACCAAGTGCAGTTTTAATGAGAGTAATAGTAGTGTAGATCTTAAATCATAAATTAGTTACCTTTGTGTTTTGAGCTTGCTTTACATGGTGGTTGAAATATTCCTGTATTCATTGATTCGTAGCCTGCAGCAAAAGCAGAACCCAAAGATCAAGAAGATGACATCGAGTCGTAAGTATCGAACTGTGAACTGCAGGTGTGTCAAGTGACGTCATCGGTCACACTCGTCTCGCACTCCAGTCAAATCTGACGATGAATCCGACTGATGGCAAAAATTCAGCCAAGTGCGATACAATGACAGCGGAATCCCGATTTCTGGAACCCGCGGATTTTCGAACCTCCCAGTATCTCGAACCAAAGGTCGTTTCCCTTCCTTAAGTCGAGCAGTGTAATTTTGCCGCCGATTTTTCGAACTACTTGATTTTTCAAATCGGGATTCCACTGAACTTACTAAAAGTTTCAAGTTCCATGATTCGCCTTGTACTTTCTTATGTTTTTTTTCAAGTATGTGTTTTCTCTAATGCGGCATTATATTAATTAAGAAGAGCTCTGCTTTACCTAACCTTAATTCTTTCCTCAATTCTAAAGTTCAGTCTGAATTCTCACTGCGTTGTCTGCAAGGCAGACGACAATACAAATCACCAAAACAGCAACTGTTTTCATACTATTTTAAAGTTTTGTTTCGTGTTTGATTTTAGTAACCTCCTGATGCCGTTGGGTGTAACGCGACAGTCAGCTGTCTTCACGCTCAAAGTTTATCACGCAGAAGACCTTCCACAAAGTGAGTGGGTTTCTCATAACCTTTCAGTACTGTAAGACTAGATGCTTCTTGTTGCGGGTCTTTTTACCTTCTTTGCGTGCTAAGATGTTAGCGCAAAGAAGTTCTTGAAGTTCGAAAATCCTACCCCAAATACGTTCTTACGGTTTCAACTTTAGAGCGCGGGCGTCTTTTATTAATTTGACGCGTCTATTGAGGTTGCTGCACTTTTGTTCTACAAGCTACTCAGTAGGTTTACTGACAAAGGGTTCATTTCCTTTTTCTTTTGTTTAGTGGATACCGGAATTGGACGAAGCTTCAAGAAATTCTTCAGCTTCTTTTCAAGCGATGATGACAAAGAGGTTGGGCGAAACCATTGATGTATTTTTCCCTCTCATCCTTAAACTAAACGATGACGATGTTTTTTTTTGGTTCCTCTCGCTTTTCGAACACCCGTGTTTAGAACCAATCGTACATCTCCCGATCAGAGGTGACTTGTGACAGTGTCATAAACGTGTACGTCACCCATCTGCCTGCATATCTGTCTGTCTGTCTGTCTGTCTGTCTGTCTAGCTACATATGTAGTTCTGCTGTGCCACCTACCTGCAGGCAAATTGGTATGTCTTATACTACTGATGTTACTTCTATTCACTAAAAGCGGCTTTTTTGTTACAGGACGAGGAAAGCAAAGGAAAAAAAGGCCTTGTAGATCCTTACATGGAATTCAGCTTTTGTGGAAAGAAGGTAGTCTAGGTGGAATTGCATATTTCGTTTCCTCTTAGCTTCCCCACACTTAAGCAGAGTTTGACTTCATCTTGAATGATGACGTAACCTGTCGATTCAATTATATCCAATTTCTTATTCTCATCTATTCACCACTTTGGGCTTCTTTAGCTGTTTAAAATGTTTAATATACCATTCCGAATTTGAATGTATTATTATTTTTTTTTCCTCAGGCAACAACTTCCACCATATATCACGACAGTAACCCAGAATTTAAACAGTTACTCAAGATTCCTCTGATGGTAATTAAAGTCGCTTCAATTTCAAAATTTCATTGTCTTAATCATTGTTCCTTTACTTATTACCAAGAGATAGCCCCCATAGTGCGCCTTTTTCCCTCTTAACACAAAAGTGGTCTAACAACGACAACAACAACCACAAGAAAAAGAAACAAAAAGGAAAAAAAAAAACAAAAAAAAAAACACCAACGACAACAAAGAAACACACCTACACAAAACATTTATTTAAAACCTTAACTTTATCTTGATGTAAACGATTGATTTCTTTATAAATCATTGAGGTCTTTATGAAGCTGAGTCTATGGGCAAGCGAAAACGCTAAGTTTCTTGAATTTTTCCAGGCAGTAATATAATGGATGTTTTAGGCCTTACAAAGTCCTTCCACTCATAGAACAGACTGACCAACAGCAACTCTAGTAGCCTGCGTAGTAGGCATTTCCAAAAAAGCACTCGAAGGAAACAAAACTGCGAGCAAGCGCGACAACTCTCTTCATTTTTTAGCTCATCCGATCCCAGGCGCGCTAGCTCCTTCGCTCGCCTGCTTGTTCGCTAGAGCTCGCTTGTTCGATCTCTCCGTCTAGAAAAGGAAAGGAAACGTCTAAGACTGACGCAGGCTACAACCCTAGGATAGGGTTTGTTGTATGTAAATCAAGCCCGCCCTATAACTTGTCTACGGTTTAGTCCATGGCGCGAATACGTTTCCAGGTTTTTTTGAAATATGTTTCGAAACTGTTCACCAGGTAATTAGTCGAATACTATTATCTCTTTTCTATAACACTTTCAAATTAACTTATTTTTGCCTCTTGAATTGAATAACACAGCTCCCTTCGATGTGCGAGAGAATCAAGCTGCAGATGTTTGATTGGTGAGTTGAAAGTACAATGTGTTTATTAATTCTTGAAAAGTTGAGATCTTGTTATTTTGCTTTTCAATAGTCCAATTTTGATGAAAAACAATATTTCGTTCCTTTTCAGGGACCGAGGCTCTACAGATGACTGTATTGGTACAGCGTTCATCAACTTGTCTGCGATCGCTGGACAAGGAGACTCAAGCGAAGGTAAGCGTCGTGTTGCGATATCACAAGTTGTCCCTTTTGATGTGCATCGAACATTTTGCACACTACGTAATGCAATTCGTCATATGAATATGCGACTTTTTAAATGGTTCATTGATAAATATGAATCAATTGGTTTTATTTGCAGGGTTTCTGCCCCAGTTCGGTCCATGCTTTGTCAATTTCTATGGTTCCACCAGGGAGTTCACAAATCTTCCAGATGAACACGATGACCTAAATAAAGGAATTGTAAGTATACTGTCAGCTGTCGGCAGCAAAATTTAGTCTGCTTTGCAATTGACCAACGAGAACGCTATGGCAAAGAGCATTAACCTTCGCTCAACTTTATTTTCTCAACTTGTTTCTGATTCGTGGCTAATTCTCCAGAACGGTTCAGAGTACGCTGAGCGTCTTCATTAAATCCATACAAGTCATTAATTAGATACCTCAATTACAGCAGTTTCAGACTGGCTTTCGAAGTACCATGTTATTATATTTGCTTTTTTGCCGTTTTGTTGAAATGGTGATGTGCTGCAACATTATTTGACAGATGCTCTAGAAAACATATTTTGCAATAATTAACCAGAAACGAATCTTTCAAAAGTCAGTAACGACTTGAATAAACGCATTTAGTTGGCTCATCAGTTTAGTTCAACTCATTAAAGCTACTTGATTACTTCAATGTTCTTCTTTCCTTAGGGAGAGGGCGTGGCATATCGGGGACGTGTTCTTGTAGAGCTGACCACGACTCTGAACGAAGACGTCAAGGCTCCGACGGCCGTGTTGGCAAATGAAGACATAATTAGTGCTCAGGTCAGTTAGAGAAATTTAATAAAAAATCCTGAGGAATAAAAACTGACCTAGATTGTTAAAGAACAGTAACTTTCAAATCCAAGACATGCCTAATTGCAACCACCATCGCCACATTCACCATCATCATCATTCAATCATCGAAACTTTA